CTTTGCAGATAAATCGTTAGATTCATCCTCCCACGGCCCTTAACTTGAGGTCCCAGGGGATGATATGTTTCATGGAGGAGGAATAGATATCCCTTTACTGCATTTCTACTAGTTAGTGGTTTGTAGGGGCTTCAAAAAGTTCATGGAACATGGAATTAAAGTCTGAGTTTATTGGGGTGTCAAAAATTTTCGAAGGCCACACATTCATGGAACTGTCATTACCAGTGTGCTTGGTCGAGAAAATCGTGGCTGTTTTTCATGACCCACATCTTTCATGAACCTTTTGGACCTCTTGTATTTAACTAGCAAACGTGTGTGCATTCTCCGCTCAGTAAACAGCGTACATAATTCGTAAGCCATGCGGTAAAATGTACTTGCGTTGGCTTGGTGCGTACACGATCTGAAGCCTAGCTCAGCTAATAGTATCGTAGCGGTGTGCAGGGCGTCAGTACCCTGGTTCTGTTCTTGGGCTCGGTTATGTAAGATGCTGTCACTCGCAAAAGCAGATGAACAGTATAAGGAACAGTCTGTACTATTTTTTGCAAACTCTTCGGAGTCTTAAATTATCTTAAAATACAAAGTTATTTTTTCTAAAAGCAGGAGGGACTCGAAGACCGTGTAGACCAGTTGTTTTCCTCTTTAATTTTAGCAGTGGCCTCCCTCTTTCGCCTTCCCCACCCCCCTCCTCCGCAGCACAGGCAGCTCTTGACGAGGGTAGGGCTCTGTGGAATAATACCACTTAAAAACGCTGATCCGGCTCAACACCTTCAGGTTCCAGATGAGGAAATCAGGGCCCAAAGACAGAAAATGCCTTGCTCGTCAGTGGGTATTGATAGAAACACAGAGAGCCCGGGGAGCTTTTAGTACGACTTGCTGTCTGCAGCGCATCCTGAGTTACACCGCATTCGCCAGCACCGTGGTTTCTCCTGTCAGTCCAAGTGAGATTAATTAGACTGGCAAAGAGCATGCATGTGCCACATTCCAGTTCCGTGGTGCAAGAGAGAATCTGTGCTTGTGGTCGAGACCGGGCGGTGGCGTAGGTGGGCAGGCTGTTCAGTTTACCACTCGGGGCACTTGGCAAGCCTCCCATCTTCGAGACCTGGGCACAGGATGCAGAGGGCAGGATTGCAGAGCCACAAGGAAGCCCGCTGCCTTCTGCCAGCTTGGCCTCTGCTCTGACCTCTGGGAGGACTGAGTTCTTGAGCTTTCCCTTTCCTGCCCATTCAGGTCCAAGTCACTGAAGTCCTTGGGGAAACCCTGGGCACCTTCGGGTTGACTGACAAGGTTAATGTAAACATGATAATCATGCCCTTTGTCTCGGGATTTTTCAGGTTGCAAAACCTTTGTCATAGGTTCCCTAAGTGGAGCCTTGTCCCCAGCCCATGGCATAGGCGTGCTTTGTAAATAAGCGATAGGATTTCTCCAAGGTCACAGAGTTGGTGTCAGGGATAGGGGCACAGCACAGGTCTCTGAATGCTGGAGATGTCCTGTTTACAAAGACTCTTGTTCTAACCGAGATCCCGGCTATGATGAAGCATCTGCACGCACTCGATGATCAGCACACCCGGTGGGGGGCGGGGGGGGACGGTATTCTCGTTATTGGCATCGTCTTAGTTCTAAGCAGAACTCGGCCACACCTGTGATTTTGGGGACTCAGAGACTTGCTGGTTCTCCAGACTGACACAGGAGGTGGAAGGTTGCTCCCACTCTTCCTGCACCTCCATATGATGAGAGCCTGAACATGCCACATGGGCACTGGATGAGCAAGTCTGAGGTTTTCCTGAGGAGTGAAGTGAGTTTCCTGTGCCCCACATCAACAGAGATCGGTGTGACAGCCACTCTGGGGCTGCCCGGCCCGCACATGCACCAGAGGGCTCTGTGAGCTGCCATCTCTGTCCACTTAGTGCCCGCTGTTGGTCCTGTGTTTCTGCAGGGAACCCTGGCTGCTTCCTTTCCCTTGGCATCGTTTTCGCCTTCCACCTTGTAGGACACAACCTTCACTGTCCACAGGGGTACTTTAAACTGACTTTAGTAACTGCCTGTTCCCTCGGTGTTCTGCCTAATGTCCTGGGAGAGTAGGGAAGATGGTGAGTTTCCATAATACCGGAAGTCGAAGGCATGCTTCAGCCCACATGGCTAGAAATATTCTCCCAAGGAAGATGATGATTCTTCAGAAAGACATGTAGAAGTAAGCTAGCAAGCTGCCTTCATCCTGCTTATCTTCTGCACCTATACCCGCCGAGCACCTGTCAGGCACTTCCTAAATGTCTGCCAAATGACCTTCCCCAGTAGTGGTTTTGGTCTGTAGTGTGCCTGCCAACCTTAGGATCAAACACACTCTGAGACCTCACCCCGGGCTCGGATTTGCTTGGCCTGGAGAGGGGCTGGCCAGTTTGCATCTCTAACAGTTTCCTAGTGAAATTACTGTGCAGGAATGATAGTTTGCAAACCACTGTCCTAACGCAGGGATTGGCAGACTTTTCCTGTAGGCCAGGCAGTAAATATTTTAGGTGTTATGGCCCACACAGTCTCCGTCAAAACTACTCAACTCTGCCATTTTAGCCACAGAAAATATGTAAATAAATGAGCATGGCTGTGCTCCAATAAAATTTTATTTACAAAAACAGGTGGTGGACTTGTTTCTAGAAAAGTTGTGTTGAAAATATAAAAATAAGAATGAAAAAGCTGGTCCTCATTCTGGGTAGATCTCTGAAAGGTCTTGGGATGGGAATTAGATGTTGGTCAAACCCCAACTTTGACCTTCTCCAGCCATGGCACCTTAGGAAGATCATTCACATGTCTCTAAAATGAAGATTATAATTACATATTAAAAATAGGGGGAAATGCTCACTTTTATCAAAACTAGGTGGTACACACATGAGTCATGGGTTCACTATTTTTTATACTTTGGGGCATAATTGAAGTCCAGAATTTTAAAATCTGTGTCTTTAAGAAGTAATTGTAGAGGACAACAGGTGGTGTGGTGGTTAAGGTGCTGGTCTTCCACATGGCCGACTGCAGTTCAAGTCCCAAACCTGGTGGCTTGCTTTCTCACTTTATCTCTTTCTCTGTGTCTCTATCTCTCTGTGTCTCTCTCTCTCTGGTGAGTGCACTTACCCTATAGCAGATTTCCAGCTCACAGACGAGGCAGAAAGGGTAGATGATTAGGCCATAGTCGTGCTTCTGAGAGGTGGTAGAGCTGGAATCTGACCCCAGGCAGTGACCCCCCCCACCCCCTGGGTCTGTACTCTTTAACTACTCTGGTATGCTGTATGTAGCTTTTACTAGGTCGTTGGAAGAGTTGTGTGTTTTTCTTTTTCTGTTCAAAAATGCATCATGACTTTCCCAGCGACCCAGTATTTCCTTATCTGTAATTAACCTGTGCATTGACAAATGCAAACTTGACCAAAAAAATAACTTTAAAAGGAGTTGACCCTGGGACCAGTAGTTAGCATAATGGCTATGTCACTGGACTCCCATGTAGTTGACCGCGGTTCGAGTCCCAGACCCAGAGGCTTAAAACACAGGCCAGGAGCCTGTGTGTGCGTGCCCAAGATCCCGAGGAGAATGGAAGAGAAGGGATTGCGGTGTGGCCATCCCCCCTGGGGGGTGATTTCTTGCTTTCTGTCTCTCTGTCTCTGTCTGTCTGGCGAGCGCATGCGCCCTATAGCAAAAACCTCTCAAAAAAAAAAAAAGGAGTTGACCCTTTCATGTGTGTGCACTGGATGCTGCTGCCCAGCAGACCAAGGCCACATGGGCACGAGTTTGACTCCCAGACTTCTCTCGAAGCCAGATGCAGTGGTTCAGGCCTATGGTCCTGGCTACTTGGAAGACTGAGGCAGCAGAGTCTTGACTTAGTGAGACCCTGTCTGAAACAATCCCCCTCCCCTAAAACACACACACACACACACACACACACACACACACATTTCTAGTTGCACCTGCAGTGCTTTGTATGCTGCATTAGTGAAGGTACTCGGTCTGCAGTGGAGCTGTGGGAAATGTCATTTCAGTGCCCTTCCCATTTTGGTCTGACCGTGCTGGAGTTTTCCCCATCTAAATGCAATTCATGCCAAACATGTGCATATCAAGCTGCGACTTCATGAACATCTTCCTTCTACATCCCCCTTGTGCCCTGGAGGTATGCAGAGGCAGGAAGTTGTCCCTGTCAGTTCGGGATATGGGGGAACCTCAAAAAGAACAGAAAGTGTAAGTTTATTTTGGTGCAAAAAGAAAAAATCATGAATTTTTCATCATATGCATTTTCATGAACTTTTGAAAACCTCTATACCTCTGTTTTCACGGTGTACTGTATTTCTAGAAGCCTTGCGCAAGAAATCTCCCGAAGGCTCTAGATCTGGCATCATTCAGTTCAGCTTCACAAACACACCCAATCTTGTTCTTACACTGTTCCCCGGCCTGAGCTTGGCATGGAATGACAGAGATGCTGAATTGTTTGAAATGCTGTCATATTGTGCTTGGCTTTGAGGATCATAGGTCCAGAACCCTGGTATGTGCAAGTTACACCCCTAAATAAACATAGGTGAGCCAGCAGGTGGTGTAGTGGTTGTGTTGCTGAACTCCCATTTGGCTGACGGTGGTTCAATTCCCAGACCTGGGCTTGAAAATCACACCAGGTGCAGGTGTGTACATGTTCAAAATCCCAGGAGGAGGATGGAGGAAACGGGATTGCAGTGTGGCCTCCCCCTACCCCACCCCCAAAGGTGATTTCTCACTTTCCCTCTGTCTTTCTCTCTCCGGCAAGCACACGCACCCTATGGCAAAAACCTCTTTAAAAAAAAAAAAAAGGAAAGATGGGTATTTGTTGCATTAAAATATAACATGGCTACCGTCGCTCTCGCCCACCGTGTGATTCCAGAGAATGGTGTGCAGTCTGGTGTTACAGAACCTTGACGTGAGGGTGACAAGTAGGAACTTTGCTTAATTCAAAACTGTAGCCCTTTCAGGACTGGAATGAGCAGTGTGCTTCTCTCCCCCAGGACCCCAGAAGCAAGCACAAGTTTAAAATCCACACTTATGGAAGCCCCACCTTCTGCGATCACTGTGGGTCACTGCTGTATGGACTCATCCACCAGGGGATGAAATGTGACAGTAAGTAAGTTTTCTCTTCCAGCAGGTGGTGGGGCTCTGTCACGCACACCTGGGGTTCTCCGAGCACTGAAGGCTCAGTAGCTTTTCAACACCAGTGCATCGATAGAGAGAATGACTTCAGATCTATAGCAGACTGCAAAAGCAGGGAATCTCTCCACCAGGGAAGTTTTGGTTTATGAAACTACTTAATTGCCTCATGATGAACCAAAATAATTAAAAGGCACTCGATTTGTAAATGAAGTCGGTGGGTGCTGTCACATCGTACGTAGTGGTAGAAATCTTCGATCGCTGTAAACTTCAGGCTAGTCAAACCCCAGAGAAGACTCCCCACCTCCGGATTCCACATTTGGTTAGGCTTCAAAATGAGCTAAGCAACCACAGTCATTATCCTCCTATGTCTCTAATTAGTGGGTGGACCGTGGAAAAATCCAGTAGGCTCTCCTTAAAACTGAAACCAAGATGAACGTGAAAACCAGGATAGCATCTTACTTAAGTTCACTTGCCCTGCACGGTTATGGGCAGATCAAATTTATGTCAGGTCCAGTTCCAGGTGAAATCACTGAGGACCACGGGCGAGGAAGACCACAGGCCTTTTCCATTCTTTATGATTCTATGTTCATCTCCTTCAAGGAGGAGAAAGAAAGAAAACCACTGTGGAGACTCTGCTTTGATAGCTCCTAAATTAGGAAATTCCCCAGGGCATGTGTTCATGTAAATAAAGGTTTATGCTTTTAGGACATGTAATGGTTATTACTGAGCCTGTCTTTGTAATAGATGGGCGCGGTGTGGACATTTCAGTGTACTGCCATTTCATTCATGGCTTCTGTATTGACCCCACACCTTGTATTTGTGTGGGACACGGAACCGACACAGTCTCTAAGGATCCATGTATGTGAATGTTAGAGAATAGGAAGATTTTTCTCAGAATGCAAGCCTTCACCTTACAAAGCTGCACAGTTTAACAGCCTCATGAAAAGCTTTCTGTGCCTGAAGAAATCCTAGGATTCCAAAAACATGATTTTTGGGGAGTTTCTGCAGGTGTTAATTCCAAGTGCCTTTGTAGAGATATTTTTAACTATCTTAGAACTTGGAGCATAGTCACGTGAACACTTGAATAAGTTACCTACTAAATCCCGACAGTGTCAGAGATGGCATAGGGGAGTTCCGATTGCCAGCTGCCCTCCATGGGCGGCACGTGTACCCAGGTTTCTCCTGTCACGGCCACTTAACTGGGGAGTCCAGTGGGACTGGGAAGCAGTCGGTACACACGGTTTCCATTCGCATCTTGTACTGGCCTGCACAGATCAGGGTTTGGGGACGCTGTACGACTTGAACAAAATCCAGAACTAAACGAGATGTCGAGTGTGATCTGAAACATCACTAGCACGCCTAACTGCTGATTTCAGTGTTCTATTCAGATCAGAAAGCTTTGCTGGTTTTCCTTGCATGTCTTTATAATAAATAAATAGTATAAATTTGAATTCAATAACTTCATGCTACTAAAGGAACATTCATCTGGATTACATGTTAGGGTTCTGCTTTAGGTTTTGTTTGGAAAAAAGCAGGCTCCATTCCTGTCAAGTTTGTGGACTACTGACCCGGGCCCACGCTTACGTTTGTATTGTTGGGAGTTTGTTCCCTTTGGATGCGAGGGCCTTCTGGGGCTGCTGCCTGTAATCCTTCATGGAGGGACGAAGAAAACCAGCGAGCGCATGTCAGGGAGGACTACAACCCCCACCACAAATTCTGCAGAGAAGAATCCCCGTACACGTGGTAGGATTATTGCAATTCCACCTAGTGGGAAGGAAATAAAAGCCGCCAACCACTTGTCTAAGCCAAGTCTTAGTTTGTAGAACTCGAGAGAGCAAAGGAGCTTCCTAAGATGTAAAATCCAACCAACCATAGAACACGACCTAACACCCGGCCCCCACTGTCGTCCCCATACTTTCTAAAGGCATTTGGCATTTATTCCATTTAAATTATTTCCTTTAAGTTGCAAATTCTGCACAGACATGTAAAGAAACTAGGAGGACACAAGTCTTATATTAACAACATAACTTTTCGAGAGCCTTCGTGTTGCCTAAGACAGATGGTTAGAGCAGTGAGCTTTAGAGCTCGAAGCCTAACAGAATCCACATTCGTGAATCAGATCACTGCCCTTTCCTCATTGTGTCCACTATCCTGCTCTCGGTCTTTAATCAGAGCAACTATCCATTATGTATGATGCTTTTTGCAGTTAACTTTGCCATGTTAAATTAAAAACTCAAAATGGATAGGAAGTCTGGACCTTGAAGGTTGCAGCATCACCTTGTTAGCATCCCCAAGAGGATTTGTGAGGATTCCAGTGGCCAGTCCCTCCTGGAAGCCTAGATGGAGCTGAAACACCTACACCTACACAGAGTCTCATGTTTGTATTCTTTGCACAGATTCTTTGCAGGGTTTCTTTGGTTCATCGCAATAGACTGATCTTTTTTTTATCCTCCCCCCACCTCGCCCACGTAATGTCAGCTGTAAGGAATGGCTTATCCTGCCAGCCGTGTATTTGTTTTACTTGGAATAATATTTAAATATTTGAAGACAGGTTTAAAATATCAAACACGAGTTTGAATTAAAAAAAAAAAGAGGCAATATATTAAACCTTTTTTGAAAATACAGGGTTAGCAGAGGAAAGGAAGATTTTTATGAATTTCCTATACTCATCCCACAGATTCTCCTTCTTTCTTGGCGGTGAATTCAGCACACGCTCTATAGCAAAAACCTTAAAAAAAAAAAAAAAAAGCATCCTCTGTTTAAAATCCACATAATTTTTGTCTCTGTTGTATGAACTATTTATTAGTTTGAGCTCTGTACACATTTACCTATGTGAATTTTGTATTCTGTTAAATATCTGAAATCGTCACCAAAGACCACACCAGGGTATTATGCTTGGTTTAAGACTGAATAAATATGGTATGAGTATTTTAAGGAGATTGTCACTCACATGAAGCCCATGCTTTAAGGGACATCTGCTCACAGTTCACTGTGTCACCAGAAACATTCTAGCGCAGTATCGAGCGAGGGGTAACGCCTTCTCACTTCTGCTCGACACCAGAAACACTGGAGAAGCCATGCTTTGCATCCATATGCCTACCCTGACCCCTCGCTCTCTCGATTCACAGCCTGCGATATGAATGTTCACAAGCAGTGTGTAATAAACGTCCCCAGCCTCTGTGGGATGGATCACACGGAGAAGAGGGGACGGATTTACCTGAAGGCCGAGGTCTCCGATGAAAAGCTGCACGTCACAGGTAAGGCCTGCTGGTCTAGGAGTGGCGTCCTTGGGAGGCTTCTGGGCAAAGGTCAAGCTGACCCTGAGGCTGGGTTGGGCCTGAGCTGGATGGCCTGAGGGCTCTCGAGGATTCTGTCCAGTGGAGTGATCCCACCTCTCAGCAGACCAGTCAGTGTACCTGAATTCCTGATACTCAATGTCATACAAGGTCACAGCCACCCTGAGGACTGGGCATTCTCACAGTGTGCTGGTGTATTCAACCCCCAGTGACATGAAGACAGGGAAGCCCATTCATCAAAATGCAATAGGCGAGCGTGGAACTAGGGCAGGGGGACAGGTGGATGGATGATCCAGGTGTTCAGTGACTTCTGGCTGCCATGCCCTGAAAACACACCTCTACCATAGCAGTGGTACTCATCCCTGTGCCTCCTCTGGGTTCAATGTGGTGCTGGCAATGTCGCATGGATTATTTAGTCCTTACAATTGCCAGCATATTGGCCCTACTTCCTGAAAGAAGAGACAGAGGCACAGAGAGATTGGAAATGTGCAGTGTAACCGTCAGTGAGAAGCCAGGACTGGAAGCCAGACGTTTGACTACAGACACCATGTGTCCTTGTTTTTTAAAGAGGTTTTTGCCTCAGGGCACATGCACTCACCAGAGAGAAAGAGAGACAGAGACAGTGAGAGGGAAAGTGAAAAATCACTCCCCAGGGGGGATGCCACACCACAATACCTTCTCCATTCTCCTCCTGAGATCTTAGACACACACACACACACACACACACACACACACACACACGTGTCTGGTGTGAGTTTCAAGTTACCAGGTTCAGGACTCGAATCGCAGTTGGCCATGCAGGAGTCCAGTGATGTCACTGCTATGCCATCTGCTGGCCCCAATACCCTGTGTTTCTAATGATCATGCCTCTTGTGTGCAGCCTGGCCCCAGGGCCAGAATTCTCTCTCCATGGGCCTGGGCGCTCCCTCCTTAGGGCTGTGTCTGGGTGGACTCTGCCAGCCTGGCTTTCCTCGTGGTTTTCCCACAAACACTCTTCAGGTGCCTTAGCACACTCAAGCCAGGGATCCTGCAGTCTCGGCCCCAGCCCTGTCCCATGTCCTCAAGATGACTTCTCTATGCCCTGGCTCACTCCGTGTTGATCTATGGTTTAATTCTGAGATTGCAACTTTGTTCTCTTGCTCCTGGACTCCTTGTGAACCTCAGGATACTCTTCCTTTGACAAGAGAGTTCATTTTTATTTGATCACAAAGGTGTTATGTTTCCACTTGTATTTAGAAATTTTAAGCTGTCGTAAACATGGAAAGACTGACTTTAGTGTTACTTATTTATAAATAGCAGAAGGGATCATAGAAGCAAGGCTGGAAGGATCCGTTTGAGAAAGGAGAAGGAGCAAGACCCAGAGAAGGCTTACATTTAGAAACTTACTCTTGTATTTTTCTTTGAAAAAATAAGCAGATTTTCTGCCCAGTTACTATCTTTGCAGGTAACAATTCAGTGAAACTCAAGCAAAGGGTATTGAAGCATTGCTAGGAGAGAAACCACACAGTCTACCTCTGAATTGCCTGATGAAAAACCCCAGCTGTAGTGAATGGTCAGGAGGCGACTGCAATGCCTCCCCTGTCACACACAGACCCTCACTGACTTGGGTTTCAGAGGAGTTCCTCTGTTGTCTCAGATCATCCGTGCCACACTCTCCCATTTGCGACTGTGACTCCCACCCCATCTCTCTTCACTGGGGCCGATGAGTCCACAGAGTCCACTCTGCCCTCCTGTAGGCTGACAGCCTGAGCCTCTGATCAGGCTGCAGGGTATCTCTGCCTGGGGAAGGAGGACTCCCTGGGAGTGGTGAGCTTGGCCGTGAGTGCATTTGCAGGAGCATTGGCAATGTTGCAGCCTCATTTTTGTTTCTCTCTCTTCTTTGCCAAGACTCCTGCATTATTGAAGCCAGGGTTGGGGACAGCAAGCATACCAATTAGGAGAAAATTACCATAAAAACCTAGTCTCCAGAAGGGATTGAAAAGCTAAGTAGAACACCTATTGGCTGAATATTCTTAGGCTTTTCTTCACCTTTTCCTTTAATTCCAAAGCTACTGCTATTAGCAGTAAAACAGACATCACAGGTAAATAGTTTACTATGGGGCTTGCATGTGGTGCTGCACAGCTCACTGTAAGGCAAGAATGCTTGGATAGCAGTTTTAAATTGTTAGCTCTTGTTTGTTGTGTTTCTGGATAAAGCAAAACCCACGCTGTGCATGCTGGACTTGCCTTGGGACTTCTGTGATAAAAGCAGCCACCATGCAGTGCAGTTGACGTCTTCCAGTCTCTTCTATAAACCTCAAGAACCTTGCAGATGGAAAACTGCACAAAGGGGCAAGAATGTCCCACCTGAGTGTCACATGATACATGGTTGGGAGAGCAAGGTCAGGTCCTGTCATGCCAGGACTTGTCTCATGCTTATTGCTCCAATGTGGCCAAGACTTGAAGTTGACTCAGAATTCTAGAATCATTTCAAGGGATAATATCTTTCTCTGAATTGAACACAGATTTTTCACACACAAAAGCCAACCAGTATAAATTATGGCAACTATGTAGGTCAAGTCTCTTGAGAATTAGTTTTAAATTTTTGTGTAGCAATAGCTCTACTCTAGAAATGTATATTCAGCATACTTTTATAATAATGATGTCTCATTCTCTTTGGGCTACTATAACAAAATGCCTGAGACTGGGTAATTTATAAATAGTAGAAACTTATTTCACACAAGTCTGGAAGCTGGAAAGTTCAAAATGAAGACACAGCAGATTCAGTGGCTAGTGAAGACTCACTGTGCTTCACAGATGGGGCGTCTTACTGTGTGTTCACATAGCGGAAGGGGCAAGCATTCCTTTTACTTTCTTTTATAAGAGCACTAATCCCATTCATGAAGATGGAACCCTCATGACTTGATCATTTCCCAAAAGGTCCCACCTCTTAATACTGTCACACTGAGGATTAAATTTCAATGTATGGGGGATTAGCAGGTGGCGTGTGGTTAAGGCGCTGGACACTCCCACATGGCTGACCAGGGTTTGAGTCCTGAATCTGGTGGCTTGCTTTCTCACTTCCTCTCTCTCTCTCTCTCACTCTCACCCTCTGTTTCTCTCTGGTCAAATTAAAAAAATGAATGAATGAATACATAAAATGAATAATTATTTTTAAAAATTTGCAACATATGACTTTTGGGAGGACACAACATTCAGACCATAACAGATAATAAGAGCAACAATAGCTTGTGCTTAATGAGTGCTTTCCACAAAAGGACCACTTTCTAGGACCACTCTAGGCAGCTAACTTATTTAAACCTGTGGGACGACTCACATTATTATCCTTACTTTATAGGTGAAGAAACCGAAGCACAAAAAATTGAAATAACTTACTCCAAATCGCACAAATGACAAATTTAATGGTTAAACAGTTGAATGGCAGAAGTAGTGAGAAGCTATTTTAATGATAGCATCAATAAGAATAGGAATCTATTTTTAAAATATTTAATTTGTATGAAGGAAATTCAATCCTGAGTATAGGAAACCAAATTCCAGGAAATAATGAATTAGTAATCAGATCTTTCAAACTTTTAAAGTAAATTTAGGTTTTCAGAAGAGTTGCAAAAGTACCATTATTATCCTCACTTTCCAGATGAGCAAAGGAGCTGAGAGAAGGAGAGAAAATTGCTCCAAGTTACAGAGTAGAAGGTGACGGATCAGTGTTAGAGCCCAACTCTGACTCCCACTGCCTCCCTTTCAATGTCTGGACTACCAACGTCCCACGTTTCTCTTGTTCCTTAGTCTTCTTTTGAACAAATAGCAAATGCATAAATATTTGCCGAACCATCTTTCAGCACCCCATGAGGTTCTTTGAGGTTGCAGGAAGTCCAGACAGGGGACTTCAGACTAGGTGAGAAAAGAGTAACCTTACAGGGATTAAAGAACAATTCGAGTTCAAGTGTGCATTATGTATGAAATTATGCAGCCCCTGAGTGGCACAACACTGGGTATTGCGTAGGGTAGGAAGACCCTTTGAGTAGACTAAAGGGTTAGACATTTGAGAGGCAGGGGGAGAGAGCGCCAGTGGGAGGATTAGATGGGATGCGTGAATTAGCCTGGTTCCAAGAGAAAGCAAGTACGTGCAAGAAAGCATAACGAGAGCTCACGGGCCGAACGCAGGTCATTTCTTGGAAAATCCAAACCCCGAGCAGCCGTGTTAGTTCCTGCATTACCTCCGTCTCCATTTTACCTGCGTCAGATCGTTCAGGTTGAAAATAATTCCCAAAGAGTATAGACACTCCCCGTGGAGTTATGCTCTGAGATGGAAACTACCCTCTTGAAATCAAAGATGAGGTTTGTTTTTTTAGGTGGGTGCGGTATTTATGGGAAAAGTTCCCACTTTTGTGGTGTATTTTTATTTTTTGCCTTTGGGCAATGGTGCTGATGTTATCAGAATAACATCTTTTTTTTTTTTTCTTCCCAATAGGCAATTTTAGTAGGTTTTCTACATTCTTGTGTGCTTCTTTTTTTATTTGGTTTGGAGGAGTGGTAAAAAGAAAAAAACTCCCTCATGGGAACCAATTTTCAATTTAATCTTGTAAGTAAATGGAAAAAATATTGCATGCTTTACTGATGTTTCAGGAACACGTTTCTCCCACAAATAGATTATTCCGAAGAAGAGTCTAATTTTCTCAAATACTCTGGGCTGTTCATTTGAGACCGAGATTGAAGTTCTAAACCAGGTTCCTGTGGTAGGGTGACAGGCGACACCCTTCAGGTCTGAGGCCTCTGGGGGCACATGGGCCGACCCCTAATCTACTGTCCAGAGTTGTGTGTAATCTGATGCCCGTGTCACCATCCCAGATGTCTAGCCTCACCACCATGTTCTTGGTGTTAGAACAATATTCCTTCTGTGTGTGTTTTCACCCTACCATGGTACATTGGCTACACAATCAGAGTACTGAGTCGCGGCCTTCACT